GCCCATGGGTGGCTCCGCCCCTGGTCATCATCCACATCATGTTCATCTTGCTCTTTCTCCCCCTTTTTTTCGAACGCTTAGATGTCGAAGAGCCAGTCCCAAGCGAACAATGACGTCCTTTGAGCATCTTGCGCACGTGCCAAATTAAGCTTAATTGTAGAGCAACTTCCCTTGATATGCTATCCTAAGCCTTTAGTTGTTGATCAACGAAGTCTTCCCAAGAATCAACATTGACGGTCTCAACATCTATCTTACTCTTGGAGGCATTGTGCTCTTTGTGTGTGCAAACGTTCACTGTGAGAGTATGACTAGGATGAACTAAGACACCTCTAAGACGTGGTAAGCTCGTCACTCCTTGCATAGCATCTCTGTCTGTTAATGTTTATTCATGGTGGGGGTCCAGTTGCTGGCTCCAATCTTATGTAAAAGATTCACATGGAGATTCAGCAAGTTAACCAGCAAATTGAAATCAGGTCACTTATCAAAGTTGTTGCCCGACAATACAGTGGTAAGTACGTCCAAATTGACATCATGGACAACATCGACATCGGAACAATGAGGTGTTTATTCGGCAAAGAAGGACTAATATCAACAACCCTATTTCTAACAAAGACCTTAAGAAAACGATGGTTGTTACATTCAAACATGGACAAGGTCAAATTGGCATAAAATTTGTGCATGTTTGAGAGCAAAAATGGAGCAACAATGGATACAGAGGATTTAGGACGAATAGTTTTAAACATAGCCGCAATATAAAGATCATCAAACTTTGGATCACCTAATTCGTGCTCAGAATGAAAGTCACATGTGCCAAGTTTAACGAAACGAACGTGAGCAGCTTAATATAAATTCGAATGGAGTACGCTGAGAGAAGGTCATACTCATCATCTTTTGGCTTAGTAGGAACGTCATCGACATCATGTTCTTTGATCTTGCAGCGGACGAAGCGATGGACTGGACGAGTCACAGTTGGAGGACACTCTTGGTTGGAAGTGACCTTAATAGAAAAGTTGTCCAATTAAAAATTGTCCAGTTTGAAAATGTATAACAAGTTGTCACGCATTCAATTAAAAATTGTTCGGTTTGAAAAAATTAGCATGAAATAATGTCTAATCACTAATGTTTTATATTTTATATCTATTTTATATAACTCTCTTATAAAATTAGTGTTATGTAATATTTAATGTTTTGTATTATTCATACATATTTTTGTAGATATACACCGATTCATTTGTCCAACTGTTGTATGAATTATCATATAATAAATAGATCCATCTTAGACTTCCATTTAAGTTCCAGCGGCACCAGTTCCTTTTGATTTTGGGGTTCCATTTAAAATCCATGGTCAGTCTTTTTGTATAAAAAATATAGAAATATTAGTGAATATATATTATATAGCTAATCAAGTATAATCGATAATAAACTAACAGCTCATTGTCTGACCGCCTAAGTAATTTATCATATTATAAAAAGATCCATCTTAGGATTTCTTTTAAGCTCTAGAGCACCAGTTACTTCTAATCTTAGGGTTTCATTTAAGATCATAATCAGTCTTTATGTGCATTGACATATTATTAAAGAAATCGGTTCTTAGCAACGACCGATTATATGTTGTTGTTTTTACGTGTAAGTAATAGATAAGAGATGTGCATTGACATGTTCTTA